ATGCCGTGGCACGACGCGCTGCCACGCGCTGCCGTCCCTTCCCCTGGCGCACCCCGGTGACCCCCCCCTTTCTTTTTTATTTTTTTTTAGCATGCCAAGAAGAGGGTATAAAAAAGGCAGCGCGTCGCGCCACGGCACGGGAATGCCGTTCTTTCCTAGCGGGTTCCAGTATATGGAGATCCACTAACACCTCTAACGTTTGTGGCTTCTTACGCATTCAATAAAAACTTTCAAAATTAAAAAAAAAAAAAAAAGCGCGTCTAAGTCTTTTTAACCAGGAGACAGTCCAACATTTTCAAGAAAATGTTTTACTTGTGAAGCTGTGGATTAATGAGATTCTAATAGTCCTGGGGAGTAATTATTTGGCATTCAGATAGCTTTTATTCCAGAACCAAAACTCCGTACAGCCAACTGCACTGGAAGAATTACCCTCTAGGCACTGTCCAGTGAATTTGCTTGCAGATAGGGGATACTTTACTACTTCTAATAATAGCAGCTTTGTGTATTGAAGAAAAATCTGCAGGCTTGTGCTATGATTTTGAGAAGTGCAGTAGTTCACATTGAAGGCAGACATGAAATTAATTCAGAGAACAATATAATTATATGTCCAATCAGCTCAAAGGTGCTGAGTTCTCGTTAATCTAATTTATAGCCCCTGGTCAAAGAAATCCCTGCGTCAGTATTTATGCAACCCGTGTCTGAATACATCTTTAAGTACGCAAGCCAGAATATTTCAGAGAAGTCTTTGCATCATAGCATCAGATGTGGTGTTTCCACTGGACCTATAGCTGTATTTTATGGACTAAAGGGAGGAAGGGTTGCTGACAGCTGAGGAGAACTTGGTACTTAAGAGTACCATGTGAGAGAGAGTTGCTTACTGAAAAAATCATGGCTGACGTGGATTAACTACCGCAGGTTCCAGATTTCATCTGCTTTAGGCATTGCCACTTAGTCCCACCCTGTAATATTCAGCTGTGATTACTACAGGCAGCTCAGAGCAGCGTATTTGTTCATTTCTCCCTTCCGAGGGCACTGAAACCCCAAACCACCATGGGAAGGCATAAAATCTGATTGTACAAACAACTCCTTCGCTTTGGGGTGGGGGGGATGTCACAGGGTAGGTCTCATCGCAACCCCAGAGGGATGACAATCTGGCGTCAGGCATTTGGGATGATCGTATTTCTTTTGGAGAGATCACTCCCACGAAGAAATTTACCCTGGGAGAGCAGAAGGGGCAAGAGGAGTCACTGAACTGCGCCCGGCGGGGTTGCAGGCACCAACGTAATAGGCCCCTATCTGGAAGGGTCCTGGCGCTTCTGCTGTGCATGTCACCACGGACCACAAAATCCTCCCCACTACACTATAATAAACCCAAGAGCTGTAATAAAAGACCACAAGCCACAGCCATAACGTGCCACAGTGTTCTTTCACACCCCTCACAGCCTCGGCTGACCTCTCAGCACTTTCCCAGCTACCGGAGCACTGTCAGCACCGGTGCTCTCGTACCACTGCTCCAACACCTCCATACCCTGTGAGGTACAGGGTCAAAACTTGGGGGCTAAGT